CCGGGATCTCAATCAGACTCTCCACAGATCCCAAACTCTCCGCCAAAATAAATAGTTTGAGATTTTTGAGGAACACATTAGCGGTCTCTCCGTCGCCCTCTATATACACGGATACCATTCCACTGAAGCCCGAGCACTGGCGCACTGCCAGCTCGTGCTGCGGGTGACTCTCCAGACCCGGATGAATCACTTTCCTCACCATTGGGTGAGACTCTAGAAATCTGGCCACAGCTAAGCCATTCTTCTGGTGCTGTTCCATACGCACGGCCAGAGTCTTAAGGCCGCGGTTTACCAGAAAACAATCAAAAGGCGACGGAACGGCTCCCAGTGCTGTGGCATTCATATACAGAATATTTATTATTAATAGCTATGAATATCATATAAATTGTTAAGACTAACAGTTTTGAAGGTATTTAAGTCTTTCGAAAATATCGGGGGAATTGGTAGCGATGGCTCCCATCACTACATCCGCGTGACCTGAATTGCAATCAAATTGTGGATTAATTTTGATCGTCAAAATAACTTGATGACTTTTAACTTTTCAATGAATATGATATACCGTTCATATATTTAGTCAATGAATGCATGACGACGTCTGCGCCTAAAGTGAGCGGCTTTTGGAAGTAAGAGCTCATGAAAGTGTTGTCCACAACGAGTATAGCCTGTGAAGCCTCGCTCTTCACAATTTCTGCCACAGCTTTGATGTCAACTAATTTCATGGTTGGGTTGGTTGGCGTTTCCATCCAAACAAGTTTGGTGTTTGGCTTAAGAACTTTGTGCACATTCTGTGGATCCCTTGCGTCCACATAACTTATTTCGAGACCAAATCTGGCGGCAATCGTCCGGAAGTATCGATTGGTTCCGCCGTAAAGATCATCAAAACATACGATATGGTCTCCGGCCTCCAAAAGGTTTGTTATGTTCACCTGTGCTGACAGACCAGAGGAATAGCATAGACCTGTAATATATTACAGAAATGTTATTTATTTAATCATTTTTGTGATCATTCAAAGGTATGACCGTATTTTGCTTCTTCCAGGGATGCGATGGCCTCCTCCAGACAATTTCGGGTCGGGTTTCCACTCCTGCCGTATTCAAAGCCCTGGTATCAAAATTATTATAAAATATATCAAATTAATTAATTTGTCTGAAATATTGGAGATAAGAAATTGTAAGCAAGAGTAAGTATATTAAATAGTTTAAAATATGTATTAAAACTTCAAATATGTATTGAGTTTAAGAGACGGCTTCATAAAAGCTTGTCCTTCACTCCATCCCTTCACCCCTTAGGAAATAAATTGATAATCAGTTCATAATTAATGAGTATTTTCTCAATAATATTCTATTGAATTATCAATCAATTCACTGATACTGTAGTCTGAAATTTTTAATTCAAGGACTCTATTCTGTAAAGAATAATAAATAGGAGACACATAAAGAATTTATAAATAAATAAAATATTGCCTTAAAATTTAGTATGGTTTTGATCTAATTTAAAATTATTTTTAATGTTAAAAAATAAATTTTTAAAAATCATTGAATGATTTGCTGTTTTTCAGAGAAGTTATTAAAAAAAAGTCTGTTCATAGGAATCAGTTGAGTATTATTTACTGTTAAGGAAATATCAGATAATTCCGGATCTCGATTATATATTTGGATTCAATTCAAATTATTGTCTGTACGGCATATCTACTGTATA